ATATATACAGTATATATATTATTATTATTATTATTATTATTATTATTACTGAGCAACACTTGATCTGTTCGCGTGAACGCACTTTGTGTGATGTGGTCATTGAAACTAGTAAAACGGAAACGGATCAAAACCAAATAAGTCTACATCGCTCATTGTGTTTCTGTTTACCGAAATACCTACCGCAGCGGCCAAAAAATGGTTAGTGAGACTGCAAAACAAGCAAAGAGTAAAACAGAGATAGCAGGCTGACAAATATAATGAGGCGATATCTTCGACGAGAGTAGTAGGTAAATCAGAGCAGCAAAATGTCGTCGGCGCGTTTCGCTTACCTCTTTCCCCGCGTAGAAAGAATACGTACGTATGTACTCACCTAGCCCGACCAGGCTGTGCGACGGATTGTATTGTAACCCTAGCAATACCGTTTCTTGGAGCTAGTACTCACCGTGATGTATTACTATTGATCCCGTATGGAAACCCTATACCCGATCCTCCGTAAGAAAGCTAGCCAGATGACTAATGTGCACAGCGTATACAATCAATGGGTTGCCAGATATATACACGCGTATCTTCTGTCATCAACTGCCGTCGCACCTGTGCGAAGAGACAGAGCGCAGCGACGGAGCACACCCCGAAATTATCGGCAGCGCATGCGCAGTCGCTACGTCGCGATGTCGGCACGGACAAAAACGGATAAGATGAGATGATTGTCTCTAGTCGTGCGCAATTTAAGATATTGCCATACATATTGTATTTATACGATTAAAGCTTGCATGCACGCGCAAGATAATTACCAAAAGTTAGTTGACACACACGCGCGCACACGCATGCACACGAACACGCACCCGCACGCACGCACGTGCACGCACGTACGCACGTACACACGCATACAAGCAAACACACGCGCACGCGTACACACACACGCGCACACACGCACGCACAGAAGCACGCGCGCGCACGAACGCACTTTAACACATCATGTAGGTAAGAATCTGTAATGTATCGGCATCTATTAGTTGTAACGAGGACGGTAATGATGGTAATATAATATAATTAGTAACGAATTATTATTATCTGTTCTATAATGATGTATTTACAAGATTGTGTATCTATGCGTCGGATTATTTTATTAGAATATTGATATTATAACATTACTTATAGAGAAATTAATTATGATTATATGAAAGAGAAAATTCACAGCGGGATCCAATATTTGAAAAATAGTCTTTTTAATGATGAGAATTTTGCTTCACGAAATAACGCGCGACCACGCCGTCCTAAGAACTGACATGCAACGCCATCTGCTGGTAGGAACTTACAACCAACAGCGTAGTAACCACACATAGACGATTATTGCACCAGGGAGAAATACACATTTTACATACCAGGGTATTTGCTTATTTAGCATATGTCATGTGCTATTTTCAATAATGCTGAATAGCCGAGCTCGTAGAGCGTTACGTTTTAAAGGTCGTTGGTTCGAATCCCATCTGTCTAGTTTTTATTTATTTTATTTTTTTATTTTTCTGTTTAGGGTTAGGGTTAGGGTTAGGTTAGAATTAGGGTTCGGGTTAGGTTTAGGGTTAGGGTTAGGGTTAGGGTTAGTGTTAGGGCTAGGGTTCACAATGCGTATACATGTGTACACATGTGTATTATGGACCCGCGCGATCCCGAAATTGCGCCCTACTACCGTTCGGCTATTTCCGGAAAAATGTGTATTTCTCCCCGGTACACGATTCCACATAGACCACCAGTAACAATATTCCCGCTAGAATAAGCCGTAAGAGGTTCTTACCTATTTATGCGAACCTGGTGTCGCCGTTACACATACGCGGGCTCTGTCTGCGTATAAACAATGTATGTCTGTCTATCTGTCACGTGCAGTGACGTAAAAAATTCCATGCGTCGACAGGAATACGAACTGATGATGTTAACGTGCACGTTTAGGTATATTATGACTATTTACTGAACATGACGGTAATGAAGTCGTTTTTCCACACGCACGCGTATCCTACGGCGAATATGATTACGCTAATAATTACTACGCGAAGCCACTTGCAAATGTCAGTCAGGAAATTGATAACCAAATGATTAATTCACTACATTACTGTACATTGCTGTAGCTGATATACAAAGAATAAATGTGTTTGTTCGCTTCTATTCTCGACTGCGCTTCACGCTTGCGTCTTCAAAACTCCGTCTCTGGTCTGCTCTCCACCCATGCCTTGATGTTAGGGATCTCTCCGATGCGGTCTACGTAGGCTTGCAGTGTCGGGAAGTTATCGATCACTCCAGGAAACCGACCAACTACCGACGACAGCATGTGGTAACTAACGATGTCTGCGAGAGAAATCTTTTGCCGGCGGCGCGCCGGCACCACCATTTTGATATGTGTATATATATATATGGCAATGGATTCTTTGTCGGTGACAAAGTGGGCCGCATAATATATATATATATATAAATATAATATATTATATTATAATATTTAATCTTATTTATTAATTAATATATATATATATAATAATATATATATATCCGTGTTGTATATAATTATTTATTCCTTTCTTTTTATTGTAGAAACCGAGCGAATAGTATAGGCATGATATAACGCTAGCTAGCATGCCCGCACGCTCCAACGCGCGACGACACACACACGGCGCGAGCAGCACACACCGCGACACACCACAGCACACAACACGCACGCGCACGTACGCACGCACGCACGCACGCACGGCGAACGACCACGCAGCCACACGCACGCACGCACGCAGGCACACACAAAGCCACACACAGCACACACCGACACACACAGCCACATATCTATATATATCACCAGTAAATAATTCAAATAATGATACATTTATGTATACAATTAATATATCTATATATTATTTTATTTATTTATGTTATTTATATATATACATGCGGCCCACTTGTCACGCGACAACAGAATCCATTGGCCGTCGTCATCATCTTAAGACGCTCTGGCAGTAAGGTCAAGATCCAGGAATAATCTTCGTATGGCTAATTCTTGGCAGGCTATCTCCTGTATAAAACGTGAAGTTTACTAACTCCAGTAATATAAAAGCAAAATTATTAGCTAATTAGCAAACATTATTTGTGGCATAACGTTAGCGCACGCGCGAACAGTAGCGTTCGTTCAGCGGATTTACGTCAGTGTCCCCGCGCACGTCGCAGTGGAAGAAAGCCGACCCGACAAACAGTACTTTGGGTTAGAATATTTAAATCTAGATAGTATTTGGCGGCGTGTCTATGGCGATTTTTCACTATTGGCAGGCGTGATCCGCTCGTGGCGGGAAGCGGGAGGGGAAGCGGAAGAGAAGCGGGAGGGGAAGTGGAGGGGAAGCAGGAGGGAAGCGGGAAGAGAAGTGGGAGGGGAAGCGGGAAGCGGAGGGAAGGCGGAAAGAGAAGCGGGAGGGGAAGCGGGGAAGCGGAGGGAAGCGAGAGGGGAGCAGGAGAGGAAGTCGGGAGGGGAAGGCAGGAGAGGAAGCGGGACGGGGAAGCAGGCGAGGAAGCGGGAGGGGACCAGCGGGAGGGGAAGCGGGAGGAAAGCGGGACGGGAAGGCAGGAGAGGAAGCGGGACGCGGAAGCAGAGAGAGGAAGCGGGAGGGGAAGCGGGAGGGGAAGCGGAGGGGAAAGGGAGGGGAAAGCAGGAGAGGAAGCGGGAGGGGAAGCGAGAGGGGAAGCAGGAGAGGAAGCGGGAGGGGAAGCAGGAGAGGAAGCGGGAGGGGAAGCGGAGGGAAGCGGAGGGAAAGGGGGAGGGGAAGCAGGAGGGGAACAGGAGGGGAAGCAGGAGAGGAAGCGGGAGGGGAAGGGCCGGGAGGGAAAGCAGGAGAGGAAGGCGGGAGGGGAAGCAGGGAGGGAAAGCGGGAAAGAGAAGCAGGAGGGGAAAGGGAAGCGGAGGGGAAGCAGAGGGGAAGCGAGGGGGAGCGGGAAGGGGAAGCGGGAGGGGAAGCGGGAAGGGAAGCGGAGAGAGATGCGGGGAGGGGAAGCGGGAGGGGAAGCGGGCAGAAAGCGGGAGGGGAAGCAGGAGGGGAAAGGCGGGAGGGGAAGCGGGGGGGGGGAAGCGGGAGGGGAACGGAGGGGGAAGCGGAGGGGAAGTGAGGAGCGGGAAAGGAATAGGAAGCAGGAAGGAGGAAGAAGCTAGAGGGGAAGCGGGTGGGAAAGCAGGAGGGGAAGCAGGCAGGAGAACAGCAGGAGGGGAGCGGGAGAGACGCGGGAGGGGAAGCGGTGGGGAAAGCGGAGGGGAAGCGGGAGGAGAAACAGAGAGGGAAGTCCGGGAGGAGAACGCGGGAGGGGAAGCGGGTGGGGAAGCAGGAGGGGAAGCGGGAGGAGAAGCAGGAGGGGAAGCAGGAGGAGAAGCGGGAGGGGAAGCGGGAGGAGACGCGGGAGGGGAAGAACGGGCACGAGAGGGGAAGCAGGGGGCAGGAGGAGGAGGCGGAGGGAAGCAAGGAGGAGAAGCATGAGGGAAAGCGGTGGGGAAGCAGGAGGGAAGCAGGGAGGAGAACAGGAGGGAGAAGCGGAGGAGATGACGCGGCAGGGGAAGCGGGTGGGAAGCAGAGGGGAAGACGGAGGAGAAAGCAGGAGGGGAGCAGGAGGGGAAGCGGGAGGGGAAGCGGGAGGAGAAGCGGGGAGGGGAAGCGGGGAAGCGGGAGGGAAAGCAGGGGGGAAGCAGGAGGAGGAGCGGGAGGGGAAGCGGAGAAGCATGAGGGGAAGCAGGAGGGGAAGCGGGGGAGCGGGAGGGGAAGTGGGAGGGGAAGCGAGGAAGCGGGAGAGGGCAGACGTCAAAATAAATATATTGTATAGAGCGCGTGCGCGAATAGGTACCTTGCGTTCGGTCTCCTCTTCTTGCATGAATTTGATGACTGCCTCTAGTATATCCCTCCAATACTCACAGATGGAGTCAATGCGAGCTGTCTGCAGGCTGCTGGACCCGTACAGATCTGTAGAAATATTGCTTGTAATCAACACACGAACTAGATGACAACTAACCAATAAGTAAATGTAATTATTTAGGCACGAAATATTAATGCTGTGTGTGTGTGTGTGTGTGTGTGTGTAGTATAGACGCTTCGCCATTTCCAAAACAAGCCGATTTACAAACAATCTTGCGTTCTGCAGATTGCTCAATGTTCGGCGATCATCAAAACATCAATTTGCGGGGTAGAGCGTGCCTTTATGGCTCTCTACCGGGGCTACAATTTTATGGCCGCCGTCGTGAATGGGACGCGCGACAAGTTAGCAAATCACTCGGGTCTTCTTTCTTCTACCACGTAGGTCATCTTTTCGCCGCCTCCTACGTTTTCCGATATCTGGTATCTGTGCCTTTCCTGAGCCTATTCTCCAAAACATTACCTCGCCGAGTGATTTCGGAACGATCTGCATACGAAGGTAATCTTTTACGTTATACGCGATACGCGCGCGGAGAGGCGACATACGAGTCGCCACTCTCTCGATAACCTCGTATGCGGATCGGGCGTGGCACGCGGCGCGTACAGCTATACCATATTGCACGCGAGTAGATATTTTGTTAGTGTTTATAGTCTAATCTAATACACGCACGTAGAGTGAATCTCACAATTCTGTGTTCTTGTCATTCATCGACGCTACCAGTCAGCTACCCTTAAGGGAAACTCTATCTCTCATAAGCCGAACCGAGAACCTGGGAGGCACACGACACGCCTTGTTACAGTGGTGCCGTGACCAGGATACGGAGATCGATCACGCTGCTGACACACTGCCCAACGACGTACAGTCCCCAGGCGTTGCGCTTGAGGAGGACACCTCTGGGGCGTCTCTGTGCGCACCCGAGGTACCACGACACGAATCCCTCATAACCTCCTCGACACAACGTATACAACCCGCTGCTCGGCGGCCGCTTCAGGTGCATCCACCGCAAGTAGCCGCTTTCAGCGCTAACATGATTCGCGCTAGTTCATCGGTACCCATGACTCGCGACCGCTCGCCAGTTGACATTGTGCTGCGCCACTACGCCATTCGCTTTTGTAGACGCTAAGCCATACGTCAAAATGTGTTCCTCCCCTTCCGTTCCTTTCCGATCGTTCTGATTTCATCGCCTCCCGCACACTACCGTCGCCGGACACGCCAACCCGACAGCCACTAGCCCATCCCTTGCAGACAGGCGATGCTGCCGAAGGCGTCGAAATGGTGACACTTCGTCGTCACCACTAACATTATTATTTAGAGCATACCGTATCTATAGTACGCTTCGCACGTTCGTGTCACGGAGCCTTAGCCAGTCTCGCGCGCCTCGGTAGCTCCTGCACTCGCGGTGTTGGTATACCACTGTATAAGTATGTATATATTAACGCACGTTTATGTATCATTTTGCACCTATTTGACCTTTTTGCGGCTTTCTTTTCGGCGGTCCGCGTCTACGTTTGTCAGTTCACGCATGGCGCGCTTAAGTGTGTCGCTTACCGCCCTATGTGGCTCATTCCACCGTCTGCACATAGAGCGATGAGCCTGGTGAACGCGGCGCAGTCGCGATGCCGACGCATGTGCGCCATTTCGTGGCCGCTACCCGACACGCCCATGCGATCGCTGCCGCAGCCAACCGCGCCGCCAGCGGGGACGCCGTCGTCGCCGTCGCGATCGCCGTCGACCCCCGCAGGGATTGCGTCGACCGTCCGTCACCGTCGGCAGGACAGCTGGCCGCCGCTCGGCGCGCCCGGTCGGCCCCTGCAGGCCGTCGCCGGGGTTCCACGGCGCCCCTCGACCACCGCCTCCACCGACGAGCTCCACGCCCAGCTATCTGATCGGTGGGACAACGGGAACTGGGAGGACGAGGGCGACTGGGAGGACATCGGCCACTGGAAGGCCGTTGACGACGGCGACGAGGAACACTGGGACCTCCCCGGCGACGACGAGCCATCTTACCGCGTCCCCAAGGGGGATTGGCACCGGCTGTGGCCGGAGCTGTTCCCGGCCGAGTAGTGTACTTGTCGGTCGTACATTGCGCGTACGTGTCGCGCCTCACCGGCGCGGTGGTTCCATTTTGCATCTAAAATTGTTTTGTTGTTCTATCTAAAATTGTTTTATTGTTCTATCTAAAATTGTTTTGTTGTTCTATCTAAAATTCTTTCTCAAGTGGTTCGGCGGTAATCGTAGCGGATATTTTATACGGGTATTGTTGACACGGGTATTTTAGAACGCGTATTTTGGAACGGGTTTATTTTTTTATTATTATTATGCGTCGCGTATTTGTTTTGCGCACGTCCGTCTCGTCGCGCGTCCACCACCTCGGCGCCAGTTTCTTATACGTTAACGTTACGTTGCACCATCACTACTTTCCTTTTGGCGTTCTGTGATGCTGCAACCGTGCCTCGCCACTATTTGGCTCAGCCCGGTTTGGGGCCCGGGGGCAAGTGTAGTATAGACGCTTCGCCATTTCCAAAACAAGCCGATTTACAAACAATCTTGCGTTCTGCAGATTGCTCGATGTTCGGCGATCATAAAAACAGCAATTTGCGGTGTAGAGCGTGCCTTTATGGCTCTCTACCGGGGCTACAATTTTATGGCCGCCGTCGTGAATGGGACGCGCGACAAGTTAGCGAATCACTCGGGTCTCCTTTCTTCTACCACGTAGGTCATCTTTTCGCCGCCTCCTACGTTTTCCGATATCTGGTATCTGTGCCTTTCCTGAGCCTATTCTCCAGAACCTTACCTCGCCGAGTGATTTCAGAACGATCTGCATACGAAGGTAATCTTTTACGTCATACGCGATACGCGCGCGGAGAGGCGACATACGAGTCGCCACTCTCTCGATAACCTCGTATGCGGATCGGGCGTGGCACGCGGCGCGTACAGCTATACCATATTGCACGCGAGTAGATATTTTGTTAGTGTTTATAGTCTA